CTTTTGTGTTTGGGAAGTTAGACTGATTTTTGCAGCCATTTCTTTGAGTTCATCTCTCCAGGCATCTGACAATAGTGCTGTGAAAAAAGAAACAATTACAAAACGATTAAAGCCATTACTCATAATTGGCTTCTTTGGGGGCCATTAGAAAAGACATAAAGACATTTAGGTGTCATATATGTTAGTACACATACCTGATTTAGTTTTGTCTCCGCAGACTCCATAAAGATTTTGAGCAAGCTGAAAAGCTGGCTCTGCTGCTTTCCTGTTTATGTGGCTCTTGAGAAGTGGATGAGGAAATAACGATGACGTGACACACCAATCATCTCTTACCATGCAAATTGGTCTGCCTGTGAATCCTGTGGGAATGAGAAATGCTCAGTATTCACCCTGCTCACAGAAAAGTGCTTTAGAGGCACGAATCCATCGAAGCAGTACAATTTAAAAAAAAGGAGCCAGCAGAATCCCTGCTGAGAATAAACGTGACGAGTTCATGGGAACCTCAGGGATGTAACCTTCTTTTCTACCAGTAGTGCAGTAAATTTATCTATTCATGTTACATATTAGCATTCCAGGTGCCCAAACAGCTGCTTGAAATATTTCATATAGAGCAGGTTGTGAAAGAAGGAAGACTTCAAGAATGAAGACCTTGTTAATGGCTTTAGCTCATATTAACTTTAATTAGCTCTGACAGGTAATCACCTCGAGTCAGAATTAATTAGTACGCAAACAGATTGTTATTCAGTGTGTCCCAGGTAGATTAGATAATAACCTCTAAATTAATGCAGCAAAGAGACTTTGCAGTCTCAAGTTGAAAAGCATTTGGTAATGACAAAGGGAAAATGCTAATTGAGGACAGCAGGATAAGATATTAACACAACATCATCACATTTAAAGGTTTGTAGGAGATACACTCAAAAAACGCTGATGTACTATAGCTAACTTGCAAGACACAAAAAATATCATTTGGTATAGTTTTGTTTGTTTTAATCATATTACATTTGTATTTATGATGCAACTAAATTTTACTTATGAACACGAGTTATGAAAGAGCCTCACAAACCACTACACATTTCTAACATGTCGTGGGAGAAGTTTGCCTTCAGCACTTTCTGCCAGGCTTTCTAACACATGGTAGACACGGGAAAGGGTTTTACTGAACCTAAATTTGGATGTGTTTTTTTTTCTTTTTCCCAAACCTAACAATCTGGATCAAAGTGGAAAAAGATGAAAATAATAAGCCAGCACTGACTTTAGTTAACAAATACAAACTCCAGTCTCCTGGGTGAAAATATCTTTGAGCAATTATTCCAGCACAGTCTCCTACCTTCATAGACTTTATTACTCCTTACTTTAACTGAATTTCAGTGATGGATGGATACTTTCTTGGACACACTTAATTTGATTCAGTTAAACAGTTATTCAGTTATTTGCTATGATTTCTTCAATAAGTTGTTTACTTCTTGTTTGCATAAACAGTGCAAAGCATTACGCTAAATATCACTGACAAATTATATATAGTGTGTCCAATTATAAGGGCA